TTTCAAAACCTTTTGACTTGCTTGGACCACAGGATGATTCTCAAGGTAAGGCATACGTGCTCTTATCAACAGTGTATGAAAAATGTGTCACGAGCTTTCTTTTGTTTGATTTTCCTACTTTTCTTATTTTTTTTATTCTTATGGTCATAGATATTTTCTCACTTGATATATAAGGTCAATTTTTTTATATTGGATTCACAGTTCTTCTTTCTTTTTAAATTTTCGATAAGTTTAGAATTCCATACATTTAAACCGTCTCTTTCCTCACTTTTTGTCGCAACCCCTCAAATAGTATACGTTCGCCACTAACATAAGTTGTATGAAAATTGAACTTTTGGCTCGCTATACACATTGGACATAAGAGATTAACTTAATAATCAAAAGGGTAAAATGACGCCGCCACCTTTCTAAGATCATTGCTTAATTGGCATATTTTGAGACATGCCATGAAAACGTCTATATATTGTTTAAAGTTAGATAGTAATTAAGTTGATTTTTAATATAAACTTGGATATTTTTACTTTTATTCAGAAAGACAAATAAAAATATCATGAAAAAGAAATTTGACGTAGAGGAAGACTTGACAAAGAAGAGCAAAATGACGTTGTCTGTCTAAAATCATCGCTTGGTTGACAACTACGTTGTCTTTCTAAAGTCATCTTAATTAATACAATTTTGAGACATGACGTGAACAATGTATATTATTTAAAGTTGGAGCAAAAGATTGATCTTTAATATAAAGCTGAAGGAAGAAAACATTTAATTTTTTCCCTTATCTTTTAATAATTAGCTAGAAATATACGTGCAACGCAGGTACATAGAAACTATTATATATATATATATATATATATATATATATATATATATATATATTATCATCTTCTTCATGGCAGTTCCTAAATATGAAAAGAATACTTAGAAACTATAAAGAACTGATGTTCGATTCCATAATAAAAATTACTAAATATTATGCCATCATATTTGAACTATGTCTTTTCAAGCTATATCTTATACAACGGAAAAGTCAGATTTGCTTGTAAACTATTCGAAATAAATTACAATTTTGATCTCTATTGAAATTTTAGTCTAATATTATCTTTATTGCTAGGAAAAATATTTTTCTGTTGTTGCGTTTGATCCTAATGGAGCTCCAATCAAAGGAAGTTTTAAATTATAGTCTAAAGTTGAGGTGTAAACTTAAATTTCTCAAAGAATTAGGATACGTGGGGTGTGTTTACTGTGAAGGAGAATAATTTCCTGAAAAGACAATGGCAGTTGGAGTTCAGGTGCGAGGTCAAAGTCGGTGGATCAAGGTCCAAGTCAGGTCGAGGTTAGGGGGTGGGGATCAGGGTTATGTTTTGGGATCGAGCTGGGATCGAGAAAAGGATTCAATGTTAGGGTTTCGAGATCAAGGTCAGATCAGGGTTTAAAGATGAAATTAGTGACGAGGGCCAAGGTTCATGTTGGGGTCGAGGTTGGGGTTCAAGTACTAATTCGGGTTGGGGTTCGAGGTCAGGATAGTAAGGGGGTCCGGCATGAGGTACATGCTTGGGGTAAAGGTTCGGGGTCAAGGTTCATGGTCAAGGTTCGGGGCCGGGGTTTGGATTCAATAATAAAGGTTTGAATTCACGTGTTTGGGGTCAAAGTTTGGGATCAAGATCAAGTTTCGAGGTCGAGATCGATAACGACGGTCCTGATCCAAGTAAAGCTCAAAAGTTCGTGTCAAGGTCGGAGTTAGAGTTCGAGGTCAAGAGTCAGGGTTGAGTCGTGGTTTGGGGTCAGGGTCCAGAGTTGAGGTCGAAGGTTAGCAACAAGGGTCAAGGGTACGACCTCGTCCCCCGACCCTAAATACCAATCCCGATCCCTGACCCGACCCGACCCGACCCTAAACTTTAACCTAAAACTCTATTCCCGACCCTGATCCCAAACACTTACTTTGACCATTAGACCTCGACCCGAGATCCGACCTCGACTTTGAACCTTGACCCTGACCTAGAACCTTGATCTCAATCTCAACATTGAACCCTAATCTTGAACCCCAACCTTGAACCCTAGTCTCAAACCCCGACCCCAAACCCAAGCCTCGATACACAATTTTAACCCCTATCTCGACCATGAACTTTAATATCCGACTTCGATCCTGACCCAAGACCTCAAATCTCGAACTCGACCTTAAATCTTGAACCTTGACCCCTTGACCTTTGGATTCAGGTTTTGGGTCGTGAGGTTTAGGGATGTGCAAGGGAAGGGTGGTGCGAGTTTGGGTCCAGGAGGCAAGGTGAAAGGGTGGGATGAGGGTAGGGGATGGGCGATAGGGGAGGGGGAGGTTTGCCGAGTGGGGGGTTAGAGGGTGAGTTGAGGGTGCCATGGTGGGGATGGGTTGAGGGTGATTGGGGTGAGGTCAGGGTGCAAACCGTATGTGGGGGGTCTGGAGGCCTGGATGGCGAGAGTGTGAATTAGGGTGGGGGTGGGAAAAGTTAAAAATATTTTTTCTCCTCTTGGTAGAAAAGTTATTTTCTTCCAATTAGAAAAATGAGTTTATAAGACAAATATTTTTAAAATTTTAAGCCAAACAAATATGAAGGTCCGTAATGACTAGGGGTGTTCGTCGGTTGGTACAGTACAGTATTTAGACATTTCGGTTTGGTATTTTCGGTATTTAGTTTCTTAAAATGCTATACTAATACCGTACCTAATTAAATTCTGTATGGTTTGACTTTTCTCCTTTCAGTTTCGATTTATTCGGTACGGTAACTTCGGTTTGTTCGATTTTAATATTAACTAGTGCATAAAGTCATAGACCGTAATAGTCTTAATTAAACTACTCACAAATATAAAAATAAAAATGTTTTAAGCTCACATGACTATTGACAATAATTTTATCCAAAACCAGGAGTACCAACCCATAGAGAGAAAAAATATACATAAAGGAATAAATTTAATCATTGAAAATGTCTCGTTACTTGCTTAGAGCTAATTGCTGAAGTTAGAGAATACAACAAGAACTAATCCAACAGATGCAATTCAATACACGAGAAGAAACATCCTAAAATCGTAAAAATATTGCGTTAAGATGTTTGGCATCCTAGAGAATAAGAGTCAAAATCTGCGGTATACGTTGTTCCTCCATTTTCCTAAAGAAGTACATGGGCTTTACTGCTAGCCTCAACATGCATACCAAAGAAAAGTATTATGTAACTTAGTATGTTATAATCAATAATATGTGCAATGTGTAACTTATTATATAGGAAATTTTACCTCCTATAGTAAAGCTTTACACCCTATTTATTATAAATAAAAATCCTTTTAATATACTATTTTCTATAGCTACCTTTTAATTTTTATAGCAAAATATATATTTATGGTTACTCCCTACAATTAAGCCATTAAACACTCTCTCTAATATTTCTCTCTCTCATTCTTTATATAAAACTACCTCCTTATTAAACCCTAGCGTATGTTCTTTTCAAACTGATCAAACTAATTTGCTTCATTCTCGGATGGCAACTCTTGTTGATACATTCCTGACAGATTTGGACGAATTGTCCGATAATGTTCTTGACAAGGAGAATTTGGATGCTCCACCCGCGTTGGTTCGTGATCATTCTTCTATTAAATCTCCAGTGAGAAGAAATCCAAAGCGTGGAAGAGGTGAAAGGAAGTCTAATTCAAGACGACATTGCAAAGTTGGTTCTGAGAGTAGGGGAGACAGTACTTTTTGATTTTCTTTGTCCCCTTGCGGCCGGTTGACAATTCCAACGGAAAAGTTATTCTTGTATTCAGATGTGTTTATATGTATGATAAAGCATACACTAATTTTTATTTTGTACAGTGATTTTTGACTGTTGTATTTGGATGTATTTATATGTATTTGAGTTCATACAAGAACATTTTTAAATACATTGTTAGTTCTAACTGTATTCATCTGTATTTTCAACCTAAGTGTATCCATCTGTATTTAAAACAACAATACAAAGAAATACAGTAAAATACTCTCAATATAAATAGAAAATCAATGAATACAACCACTGAAATGTATTTAGATTGTAGACAGTGACTTTTAGGTGTATTAAGATTTTGTTAGAGAAACATATATTATGAATACAACATTATACATGATGTATTTATTACAATTCTACTATGAATACATTATACAACTAGCCAGAATACATATCCATACAGTTGGATACAGCAAATTGGTGAAGAGGTTGTAAGTATATACGACGAAAAAAAGGATGAACTAAATCTCTGAATATTGCTCTGTGTTTTGGGTGTTTTTCGTCCGAGAAATCTTTTCCTTAACTGGATTAATAATTTTGCGTGTTATAATTGAGTTTGTTGAGTTATATTAGGAGTCTATCACATTAATTGATTCACTTTCCGTTTTTAAACAGATGGAGATGCCTATTTTTGCGATGTATTCATGAATATATCTCGCGAATACATATGAATACAACGGATGATAGCTGGCATGCCCTGTTTTTCCGCATTGTTTTGCTACTGTATTCGCGAATACAGTAGCTTGAATACATCGAATACATTCCATAACAACTGAAAAGATAGCTATAAGAAGTAATTAAGTAAATGGTAGCTATAACAAGTTAATAGCCACTAAACAATAGTGGTTTCTGAAAATTTCTCTATTATATATTTCGGTACGCGTATCAATATTTCGATATTATTTTTTGAAATAGTTAAAAACCAAATACCATTTTCTTTTTAAAACTTAAACAAAATACCATACCAAATACCCAAATATCGAATACCAAATATCAAAATTTTAATTTCGGTATGATAATTCGATATTTACCAAATTATGCACCGCCCTAGTAATGATAAGCACAAATACAAGACTATTTGTTAACCATCATGATATGAATGAGCCAAAAGTATTTTTCGACTAGTATAGTAGCAAATATGACCTGTTTTTTTATATATTTTTTAGGGAAAATTGATAAAGAGAAAAAAGTAAAAAAGAAAAAACAAGAGGACTATAGGACTGTCCTGGTAGCCTCTCTGGGACTTGTTATTCTAGTGCATTCTTACAGCAACAACACATCCTTCTACCTTCTTCTCAGTCTAAACCGAACACAAAGAAAGAATGGCCAGAAAATTTTTCGTCGGCGGCAACTGGAAATGCGTATGCCTCTTATATTTCTTTCTCTTTTGTTCCTTCTTCCTTTGTTATTCCTTTGCTTTTAAACAAAAAAATAAGTAGTTTGCCTGCTGCACGATTATCAAATCATGCTTGTATTTTCAAACTTTATCTTTATTAGATTGATTCAACACGTTAGGTTTTCAATTGCTCGATACTTCACTTGATGCGCGTGTAAACCTAGACCTGCATTTGGCATTCTGAATTGAGATTTTCGCATGAATTAGAAAATATTTTTTTTTTTTTTTGTGGATTTCATGTGCTGCCAGTGTTTTGGAGAGCGAGAAGCGGAAAAAAGCGAGGAGGCCTCGCTTCGGTAGCGCGAAGCGAAGCGCGCTTTTTTCATGTGAACGCAATTTAACACATAAATAAAAAAAATTAAATAGGCATAGATAAATGACCAAGAACTCAATAAAAATAACATATCGCTTAACAAAATCCGGAACACTTGAACATTCTTTGACATCTCTAAAACCACCAATTAGATGTCTCTTGTGACGATGTATTCCACCGTTACAAATATTTTGACAAAAGATACATTGCACTTTTGTGCTACTACTGCCAATTGCAACTCCATACGCCCAAGCTGGATCTCTTTTTTGGCTTGATGCCATTGAATAATAAGATTGAATTTACTACAATCAATAACCAAAAAAAAAAAAACAGAACAGTTAAGGAGTCGAACCAGTGAACAGTGAAGAACAGAAAATAACAAAAAAACAGAGCACACAGAGAAAAACAGAGCATAAATTAGGGCAGAACAGAGCAATAAAAACTGAAAAAAATAGAAAGAAGAAGAGAAAAAGGAGTCGAACAGTGAACTGAAGAAAATCAGAAGAGGAAGAGAAGAGAAGAAAGAACGGAAGAAGAAGAAGAAGGGAAGAAGAAGAGGAGAAGATAAGAAGAGAAGAAGAGAAACTTACTCGAACAGTGTAGTCGTCGCTTGCAGCAGAGAAGCAGATGTCTGGAAGTATTGTGCGCAAGTGTATTTGCAAGTTTTAAAAAAAAAAAATCCCTAGCAGATGTCTGGACCTCGCTTAAGCGAGCTTTTCTGTGCTTTTTTCATCGCCTCGCTTCTCGCTTTTTAGGGTAAAGCGTGCGCTTATTCATGTGAGTCACGCTTTAGGGCAGAAAAGCGCAGGTCAGTCGCCTCGCCTCGCTTCTGCACTTTAAGCGAGAAGCGTGCGCTTTTAATAACACTATTTGCTGCTAGTATTCGAAGGTGTTGTTTTAAATTATAATCATTGCAGTTTACAGTTGATAACATAGCTGGACACTGGAGAATAGCATACTTAATTTGGCAATGTAACAACATTCAAATTATTGCTGTTAGAACGGTGTGACCGCCTCGTCTCAATGTTTAAGCTTGTAGAAAACACACACTTTTAATCACTTAATTATGTTATGTCAAACACGTGGAAATAACTTTTGTATTTTGGTAACAGAGAGACGTTTTACCTGCTCTGGTACTATATTGAACTGTGTGATAACCTCATGTAAAAGCTTACACTGTTAGAGAGAGCGCAAGTCTAAGTACTCAATTATATTGTTATGTCTCAACAACTGTGTCATGGTAAGAGAATCGAAAAAGCTAGAGCTATTAAGCTTTCTTGTATATATATTCGAGAAATTACGTTGGTTGGATGCCTTTAAACAAAACTTTTACACTCGTATGCAGGTCCGGAGCTAAAAGTCCGGGTACGGGTTCTGTCGAACCCAATAGCTTTTACTTAAACAATGTATTTGTAGCTTTTACTTAAACAATATATTTGTGTTAAGAAATTCATTAGATATGTACAAATATGAATTTAGAACCCTGTTATTAGCACTTGAAGTCGTCACTCTAAAATTCAGAACCCATAAAGTTGAAATCCTGGCTACACCCCTGGTTGTACATGTGGATATGAAGCAACATAGAAGGGCTTAGCAGACAGGGGTTTAATGCTTCAGGTTAATGCACAAAAGGGGCAGAGTGGGCATATGCCGTACATAACATTCCTTTTTGCATTTTTGCAAAGAGGCTGTTTATGTGGCTCGAACCCGTGATCTACCGGTTACCAAATGGTCACTCTACTGTTGCGCCAAGGCTTGCCCTCAGCATAAGTGAAACATTCTTATAGCTTTCACCCAACTTAGGGAACATATATGACTAAGTTTGAGATCAATTAATTTAGTTTCATTGCATAGTATAATAAATTTCGAATGATGTCTAAAATTAGTGGATTTTTGTTCTTTGAAAGTTGCTATGCAGATTTTTACATGATAAGGTTGTTTGTTGATGAAATTGAGATCTTACGTAATCTGGATGTTATCATCAAAATATAATTGAGTGATCTCCTTTTTTATATTGGTGAAAAGCTGAAAATATGCTCTCTTTTTTTTTCTTTCTAAGATTTAGATTATTTTGTAATTTTTATGTACAATTATTTGTAGTTGAAACCATTTATTTGACAAGGGATGAATAGCGTAGTGGAAAGGGCTTTCCACCTCCAAATGTGAGGATAGGGGTTGGAGTCAAGGGAGGGAGCACAGAGGGAAAATTCAGTTTTGAGCTCCCTGCTAGTCAAATGTGGTTTACCATATAAAAAGAAAAATCTAAATCCATTTATTTAAATTTAATACTCATTGCATTATGTAATGATAATGCTTGTTAAAAGATAAATCTATGGAATAATAGCCAAAAATTATAGGTAACTAATTGAATTAAATATGATTATGTTTCTAGCATTTTATTATTTGTATCTTCGAATGATAAGTTAAGTTTTTCTGACTCAAAGTTCTTAAATCCTCATAGATGTCGTACATATTTCTTAGTAAGTAGCATGGATGCATGCACAAGCATCAAGTCAGACAATAACTAAATTTTGACAATTAAGGGTTATGATTTTAATCTACCCAAAAAAGTAGCAGTATTTTCAATGTCAAAGGCAATAGTTGAGAGAATATTAGAATAATGTTTAGTAAAAGTACATAAAGCGCCTTATTGAGAATATAGTACAGGTTGCTCTTCGTATCATTTTAGGACTCAAGTGAATAAAGTTAAGAGACCAATTTATTCTTTAAAAAGAGGTTAGGAAGTGGTGTCCAGAGAATGTCCAAGAGTTTCTTTAATGTCCAAATGGGTTGAATCAATTGTCTAATTTAAAAGAAATAATTATAGCGAAGGAAGTAGGATATGTATATGACACCATTTCAAGTATTCTTTTATTGGTGTCGGACCCGAGTAACTCGATATGTGTTTGTGTTCCATTTCCATATCTGTCTAATCACATAAAGTTTTAGGCGTTAAAATCCTTATCACAAAAAGATTAGGCTTTAAATTAACTAGATCTGTTAAATTAAATATATCACTTGATACAAAGTTTGTTTGAAAGTATTCTGTAGCTTCTATATGTGCATCATGATTTTTTCAAGGAGCACTGACCTGCTGATTCACAAAGACAAGATGAGTTTAATTAATTCAAGTCGTTCTTTGTGATTGAGGATATAGTTTCTTCCTTACTTCTTTATAGTGAATATTGCTCTTTGTTTAAACTAAAATATGTTTGCAGAATGGAACGGTGGAGGAAGTGAAAAAAATTGTGACCACATTGAGTGAAGCAGAAGTTCCTTCTGAGGATGTTGTTGGTGAGTTTCTGGCCCTAAGCTGCCAATGAAGTAGAGAAGGAAAAAGAATTGGTTATGGAGATGATTTGAATTGCTTCTGAAGTTGTAATTCTAAATTGACACTGAAGTTCTCAACTCTTTCCTGCGCACTTAGAATGTTCAGATTAGGTTACCATGTATGATTTAGCTTTGAACAAATCTACTATTTGCCTTTCATTATCTTGGGGTTTCTTCTTGTATTTCAATTGTTTTTCTTTCTTTGTATACATTTTCTTTAGGCTTCTGAAATTTACGTCTTAACATTTTCAATAAAGTAATCTCTTTACCCTATCCGAATTAATGAAAAGTGATTTTCTTTGATGCTTTTCCACTGTCTTGGCTGGAAGTCTACTCTCTAGTGTTTTTTGTTTTCCTAAGTCTTATACCATTGCTACATGTGGATTTGCTTTTCCTGCAGAGGTTGTGATCAGTCCTCCATTTGTGTTTCTTCCATTAGTCAAAACCTTGTTGCGTCCTGATTTCTCCGTTGCTGCACAAAACTGTTGGGTTAGGAAAGGAGGTGCATTTACTGGTGAGGTTAGGTATGCTCACTGACATGACATATTTGCCTTCTGAATATCTCTGGTAATATCTGATGAATGGGCAATTTGGAATTTGTACAAGCATACTGAGCAGAATTCCCTCTAACCAATTGTCGGTTATACTACTTGGTCAGATATTCCTGGACTTATGTTAAAACTTGTATTTTCTGCCACTAATGTGCCCTTTAATTTCCTACTTATCTATTTTTGGTCTGTTGTCAAGCTTCTTTCTTTTTTAGAAATAAGTAACATCTCTTGCTTAAATGTTCGAAAAATTGGACGCACTGGCATACACATATCAGGAGTTTCCGATTCTTGTTTCTGTAAAAGTATCTCTTACTTGGTTGAATTGTTGAATGCTTTTTTATTGAGTATTCTTGATCTGGTCAACTATAAGGTTAATTTTATTTGTTTAGTTATTTGCTTTGATTTAACTAAATCGACATTACGCTAATACTATTCTCTGCTTCCATAGTGCTGAGATGTTGGTCAATTTGGGCATTCCCTGGGTAATCCTAGGGCACTCTGAGAGAAGGCTTTTACTGAATGAATCAAATGATGTAAGCTATGATATGGAAACATGTAAAAATTCAAGTTTCCCTGCGTCTTTGTAATTAATAAATATGCACTGTTTTCTCTTTGTATTCTTGCTTTGAGTATAGCATTTATTTTTTTGTTTGCAGTTTGTGGGTGATAAAGTTGCATATGCACTTTCTCAAGGCTTAAAAGTGATTGCCTGTGTTGGGGAGACTCTTGAGCAGCGAGAATCAGGAGCTACGATGGCTGTAGTTGCAGCACAAACAAAAGCAATTGCAGGTATGTCCTTGATAGTCCCTGTGAAGTGGGAAGTAAAAAGCTTTATTTATGTGAACATTATTGTTACAACACTATAAATAACTTCTTGATCAGTGCCCCTCAGGGTTTAGCTCAATTTGCAAAGAGGGCTTGTGTCTTAGGTCACAGATTTGAGCCTTGTGCCAAGCGAACTAACTCTGGTATTTAAATGGAGTAGAGTAGAGGGGTGGGCCTATCATCCCCGAGTTACAAAGGCTGCGGTTGGCCAATGGTTCTGCTCCAGACAGATTTCTTGGTCATAAAAAAAATCTTGATCAGTGATGAATGTTTGATTGGAGCATTGTCATTCATTATGTTGTGTTATACTGTTTATTCTACCTACTTTTTGAACTTAAGGAACTCTTGGTTTTCTTATTTCCACCTGAAATGGGATCATAAAGTAAGTTGGGTACTTCTCAAAAGGATGACCGAGTGGTTGAGGTATAGGAGTAACAACCTGGAGATCCAAGTTTCGAATCTCAGCTACAACAATCAGTGTGAGTGCAGACTTGGTGGGTAAGTGTAGGCGACAACTGTGTTGTAGTTGTAGCCTGTAGCAGGCTGCCTACTAGATTTGTCGATGTGCATGCATGCTGGTCTGGGCACCCTAATAAGAAGGGGAAAAAAGAAGAAGCAGTGGCTTCTCCCCAGAGCATGCCAAAGTTCTTCCTTGTAATACGCTTTGTAATAGTTCATGATACTGCTGCCATCAGTTAGGAATGAATGGCTTAAGCATGTGGACTACAAGCATTTAAGAAACTAAAAATGATCAGTTAGGGATGAATGGGGATCCCTATCAATATAAAAGGAATCTTCTGCGTTGAAGCAAATGATATAACAAATTATGACAATCTCAAACAGCATGTCGATTACAAATACTTCCAAACTGCTAGCAGGAAGAAACTTCTCATCCCCACTTTTAAGTTGGATATAGATGTAGGCATACCAAGTCAAGTGAAGTGTCTTGAAAGCTTGACTGATGGGTAGTAAATTATGCTTCTACTAATGCCTATTAATTTGTAACTGGAGTTTCCAATCGTTCTTGGTGTCATCATCTGTTACATAGACTACTTTTAATTCTTCGTGTGAGAAAAAGCCGAAATACCTGCCTCCCTATTATGTTTGAAACTTGCATACTCTTTGCTCAGGGATTTGGCTAATGTCTCTTCTCTGATCTTGGAAACCTGCAAATCCCCTTGCAGTTAAGTAGAGTGTGAAAATTTACCGATTTTATGCGAATCCTGATAAAAGAATGTGTGTAAAAAGGTACTTTATTTTCTTAATGCCAAATAATAACAGAAAGCGCATGGGTTATCCTCACAAAATTTAGCTCAACGGTAATGAAGAGTTTATTCCTATGGGGTAATTTGCATCGTTTTCTAAATCGGAAGGAAGCAAGTTTAGAAAATGTATGGGGGTGTATCTGAATTTTATCTTTATTTCATTTATGTGAACGATAATGGTGACCATCTTCTTCACAGAAAGAATACCACACTGGTCCAATATTGTTTTGGCTTATGAGCCAGTGTGGGCCATTGGAACAGGAAAGGTTGCTACTCCAGCTCAGGCTCAGGAAGTACGTTGAATCTTTCTTAGCTATTCAATTACTGATGATGTATGTTTTTATGTATTTGTGACGGTTTGCCAATGTGGTAAAAAGTTGTACGAGATGTATGAAGGAGGGAGAGAATTAATGAAAACGAGCTGTGGCTGATACCCAAAGCACACATTTACAGAATGATCACCTAATTTATTTTTCAAAATTTTCAACTGTTGAAGTCACACAGTATTAAGTACTCCTCTTGTATTAGCTCCTTATTCCTTATAAGGAAGGAGTTGTAGACACGGCATTTTGCTGGAAATCTTATACTTACAGTGGGGCAAGCCTCTGCCTGCTGAAGCAGATCTCGGCCAATTAGAGGCCATGTCGAGCTCGGAGGTTCATATGTCTCATTCATGAGCTTATACATTGGTTTTCAGTACTTTTTTCAAGAATTTTTAGACACCTAGTTGACATGAATGCACAATATGATGTTTACCTCCTCCAAGTTAGTTCCGTCATTTCCAATTAGGTTTAGCAATCTAGGTATGGGTTCTTAAGTTATTGTCTTCTCGTTCTATGCCAACACATTTAACTACAAAAAGGTGCATCTCTGCCAGGTTCATACTGAATTAAGGAAATGGCTTCATGTTAATGGTGGTGCAGAAGTTGCTGCTTCCACTAGAATCATCTATGGAGGTATGTAAAAACATACCTGTTCTTTGTTTATTGTCGTGTTAATTGTACAAGTGAAATAGTATTGCGTAAAGTAATAGTTTGCTATCATGGAAGAGATATTTCCTGATATTTATATCTGTTAGGTGTTACAAAGAAGTGTGCACAACTTCCGTATTGTAACTTATTGGTCTAAAAAATAGAATATGATACTGATTGTGCATCGTTGCAAGAGAACTTGTTTTTGTGTAACTAACAATTCCTTTTGCTAGATTAATTTACATGAACTTAAATACGACATTCTTCCAAGAGAGAAACTGAGATGAAAATCCAGCATTACTTTTTCTCATTTTACTAAAATAATTTGCAGGTTCTGTAAATGGAGCTAACTGCAAAGAGTTGGCAGCACAACCTGATGTGGATGGTTTTTTGGTTGGTGGAGCTTCACTAAAGGTTTGTCTCAGCATTCCTCTTCCATTGTTTTGGTGCAGGCATATGTGGTTTTTAACTTTAAATCTCTGTTACATCACAGCCTGAATTTATTGATATCATCAAGTCCGCAACAGTGAAAACAACTGCTTAGTTGAATCAAGTATTGCTACAAGGAGCCCTCTTTTCTCAGATAGTGTTGTACATTTATGGTAAATAAGCTTCAAGAATACATGTTAGGCATAAGGATTTCCTTCAACATAAATAAGGTGCTCTTTGCTACATGCGTGCTTTTATCCGCTTGATGTTCAATCGTTGTTTCTTTGTTTATTTATTCAACTATGTTATTTCAATATGCCTGCTTTAATTTGCTTGATGTTCAATAAGATGACTCTTGAAATAGCACTGTATATGCATTGATCCTGAATCTTTCTTTGGAGAAATCATTGTCATTGAAAAAGCATTAATAGAAGATAGAGTGAATATATGGCCCCAATCATGAAATACTATGGAATATAACATGCCTGCAGGTCTTGCTAAGGAGTTTGGAAATATCTCTTGGTCAAGATATGCTGCCTCTTGGAGACTTACTTTTTATAATCTTACAAATTGTCCAGCACGAGTTATTCCTTTTGCTCTTCCGTAACATCTCTCTGTTTAGGTAGGGTTGTCAAATGGTAATCTTCGAGGTTATAGTAACTCTATGCAATGGCTCAGAGAGCACAAAGGGACCTCAGCTTATGACCTCTAGCCAATTCACGTATGTCATGACTTATGACCTAGCATCCTCTCTTTTTTTTTAAAAAAAAAATCAAAAATCCCTGAAAATTAATATAGTGCACTTAATTGTCAGAGGTTCAGTCCATCGCATGTTTGGACTCATAAAGTGCCTTTAACTCGGGGGCAAGTGCACGGATAGTTATTCTCAGGGATGCTATTTAGAGATTAGCTGTATTTATTTTGTCCTGAAATTTAAAAAAAAAAATCTATCTTTAGGACAATTCAAGATATTTGGCTGAAAAACTGAATTCATGACGCACTAGCTAATTCCTAAATAGCAGCCATTTAGACTGGTGTCAATTTCTACTTTAATGCATCACTTTTCACTAAATTAAAGCTCTAGGGGGAACACTTAGGACCAGAGATATCCCTAACAATATCTACAAGTCTTTTTCACTCTTTGTAGCCTAGCGATGTTTAGGCCAGAAAGAGACAAGCAGTCCACACTTTTCGACTTGCATATCATCCTTTGATTTTTTTTTTTTTGGAGGAATGGTAAAGTTATTTCATATAACTTATAGGTCACGGGTTTAAGCGGTAAAATTAGCCACTGACAGTTGTGTTAGGATAGGCTGCCTATATTACATTCTTGAGATGCGACCCTTCCTTTGACACTACATGAACGTGGAATGCTGCCCCGTGCTGTCTTATATTATATTATTTTTTGTTTAAAGCAAATTGTAACCAGATAGGAAAAATGAGGCACACCCATCAAATGAGAATAGATAAACCAATATTGTATATGAATGCGTTTCTGGTATGGGAGGGGGTATGTCTAAGGCAAGGCAGCATGTGACTCTGTGGCTGGGCTTCTGCAAATTGCCAGCAGCCAGTGCATGTATCAAATATCCTTCTACAGCCGTTGGGAATCAGAATATAAGCCAATAATTGGTTTAAATATCTATATACGGATAGTGGAAAAATTCTTTTATACCATCAGCTTACTTAAAAGTTGCCTATAGATAACTATTATAATGAACATGAATTATAATCGCTTAAGAACATCAATAGTCTAAATCCATCTAAAAATACAACATCAAGTTGTCCGCACGTGGTATTTACACCAAATAAATGAATGAATATATGTATTTGTTTAGAAATACATATTGCTTAACAATGGTTAATTAATATTCATTTTGACTTCACTTTACCACTTAATTATGAGAAGTTAATATAATTTGATATGAACACGGGTTACTATTTTTTATCTCGTTCCTCGAGCCATGCTTATGAGAAATAATTTAATATGAACATCGAGTACGAATAAAATATTTTTGATTTTGTCCCCGGAGCCAGTGCCGTCAACCAATATCTCCAAAATTGACGAGCTAAGTCAACATGTGCAGGTCGTTGTGCGTCCATCCTTATTCCTACCCCAATTCAAAGTCATCTTAGTGATTGACGATTGTTTTGATCATTGAACTGTTTTATATATTATTGATAGTATTAGGTTTTTAATTAAAATACTCCATCTCGAATTTTTTTTTTATTCCTTTGTAGTTGGTTCACACATTGTATTCGTTAAAAGCTTCTAGAAGGCAGTCTTGTACATGATTGTACCCTTCTGGAAACAAAAGATTGGTCAAACTAAGGAGCTGCATAATTGAAATCCGATCCAAAAATTAGTCAAAATATTATGCTTGTCAAGTCTACTATATTCATAAAGCACTACTACTACTATTATACAAAAGCTGGCAAAACGAAAAAGTATGAATCTTTTAACAGGTTAAATAATTAAAATACCATATAATCTTTTTTATTTGTGCCAAATGCAAAAGAAGATAAAATACGCTACTCAATATGCAGAAGGAAAGAGTTTAAATTTATCCCTCTCTAGTATGATTCTTAATTTTACTCTCCATATATGTTAGAGATTATTCATATCCTTGTGTACGTATTTTCTTTTAACTTTAACGAGCTTCGACATGGATCAGTTGAATTTTTCAGGCGTTAAATATTTTGAAAATAGTCCAATTTTACCCCTCTACTTCGTATATGGATTAAAATTTCCTTACATTATACTTTATGTCAGAGCTCCATGAGCATCAAATCAACACGACAGTACGAGATGTTTTACTAACGACAAGTGTATGAATAACTCCAAAGTGTAATGAAGCTAATCATAGTAGATGAATTTTTAACACTTCTCCCTAAATAGAAAAACAGATTCTCTCTGTCCCAATTTACGTGTCATACTTTCTTTTAAATCTTTCCCAAAAAGAACGACGATGTTATGCTTCCTTATTTAGAAATAATTTAACTTTAAACATCATACTTTAACTTTAATGAGATGATATCGCCACAAAAAAATATTTATGTCTTGTTTTAGACCACAAATATCAAAAATCTTCCCATCTTTCTTAAACTTGGTATGAGTCAAACACCGCTATATAAATTGGGACGGAGGGAGTAAGATGCAATACTCATGTTTGAATATTTTTTCTTCTCGGTGCCATCTAGGTAGCCTTTCTTCAAGTATGATGCATGTTCAAAGATAGTTTACATTGATGCGGAATCCAGCAAGTCGCAAGATCAGCGTTGACAATATTGTTGAGTCCTACATCGACATTGAAGAGGATGGGTGGTCTCCTTATATGGACTTGGGCAATCCTCACCTCTTGAGCTAGCTTTTGGGGTTGAGTTAGGTCCAAGGTCCATTTATCATTGTATCAGAGCAGGACCCATCCCGATTTTCTGATGTTGGGCCCCCATAATTGTCCACGCTCCAGATGTCCAGTCCTGCCGTGAGAGGGGGCGTTGAGTCTCACATCGACATTGAAGAGGATGGGTGGTGTCCTTATATCGATTTGGACAATCCTCATCTCTTGAGCTAGCTTTTGGAGTTGAGTTAGGCCCAAGGTCCATTTATCAAATATATTCCAAGCTACAACACGATGTTGTCGAGCTTGATAAAAGACTCCAATTTAATGTGTTTGCTTATTACTTTGATATTCCGATACATATATAAAAAATAAATAAAATATTTATTTAGTCTAATAGGACTTCTTCCACGCGAGTGCGTGAAACATTTGTTTGGGCTCCCGCTGCTATCTATGCTAGCTTGAAAGGTATGGCGCACTCTCTTGTTTCCTGCTGAAGCTCCTTCCCAATACAGCAATACTTAATATTGTTTAATTAAAGATGAATTTTTGTATAACTTGTGGCTAAACCAAACCATCCCGTGACAATAAGGTTATGTGGGGTTGAGAATCTTTTGATTCATGAAGCCAAAAAAGGAAGAATGTCACGAAATTTCTTTGGTTTGGGTCATTCCACATGACATGACTCATGAGACGACTTATAGCTTGTTTGGATTGGTGTTGCATATCGTTTCATAATTTATTGTATTGTATTGTTTGATGAATACAATATTTGAATAGATTATATGGTTTGTCGTCGTTTCATAATGTCACGCACCAACAATATGAAGAACAAATACGGAGTAGAATTATCATATAAAAGAGTAGGGTAAAGGATAAAATATAATTATTTAATAATAAGGAAGGGCAAGATGAGAGAAAAAAGAAAAGCAAGATAATGATGCCACCACACCAAATTCGTTGTTCCATAAAGTGACACTTTTCGTCGTTACGTAAGACGAATTTATCGATACAATACAATAAAATTTAAGTAACAATCAAAACAAACATTGTATTTAAAGTAATAATATAATACTATAAAATAGGTAACAACCATCCAAACAAGCTATTAAGAAAGTCTTCAAAGGATAGAAAGCCAAAAAGAGAAAAGCACTTGTTTTCCTAGCTAGAGGTGGAGAAAAAATTTAAGGTATATAAATTCAGGATTTCTATCTTTCTATTTTACTTGGTTCTAAATTAATAATTTAATATACATTAAATAAATTTTTAAGATAAATATAAATTTTAAATCAAAATTACTAGGTTTGGCCAAACTGGATTTTCACCTCTAGTTTCGCGAGTCCAGAACTTTTTTATTGTCTTTTTGGACATATATTACGTTAATGAGTGTAAAAAAAAGAGTTACTTTTCTATATATAACGCCGAAATTCTCCGCGCTATACCTTAACGGTAACTTTTGATGTTAAGGTATAGCGCATGAATTTACTGCGATATACTAGTTTAGCGCCTGAAATCTGTGCGCTATACTCTGACGACTTGACTGCCAGGTATAGCGCATGGAATTAAAATGCTATACATATATAGTGCAGTAAATTCATGCGCTATACCTGTTTATGGTCCTACCAACTAAGTTAACTGTACATAACAATAATTCAAATGTGTATAGC